TTGTAGTTAAGCCTGATCGAAAATTACTTATGAGATAAGTCATCCACTAAAAAAAGTGTCCCCTGCAATCTATGTGTATCGATGTACGCGTTGGCATGAACACAGATTAAGATTTCATAAACATAACATTCTTTTAGAATCATAGTTGGTCCTCTCTCTGTGTATTTAATACAAACGGCCATCTCTAATAGAAGCTTCCCATGTGCAGTAGTATAAATGTCGTTTGCAGTGCTGACAAGTCAGATGAGGGCTGTTTATTTTGTGTTTCAAATAGAGGAATTTCTTATTATACACGTATTATTGCTTACAGTCTGTCGTTATTTTTACTTACCCACTTGCCCTTGACAGATCCCCGGCTTCCACCAGTACACATCCCACCCTCTGGCAACTGTGATGCACAGCATGGATTCCAGGCCTACGGCAAATCCTGCTATAGAGTGGTCAATGACACTGGCATGACCTGGGCAAAGGCCAATGATGCTTGCTCTGGTCTGTCGGCGCAACTGGCCTCAGTGATGGATGCGTATGACTGGGCCCAGGTATTCCTCAAGAGTCATCTCTTTCATGATGGTCTCTGGATTGGTATCAATGACAAGGCGGTGAGTATTTCTTTTTTTGGATAGATTTTGATGGATTTTGATTTGGTTTATGTATGACTGTAATGTCATTCTTGACGGAAATGTCATTTCAAAAGAAGAATGTTGAAGACTAATTTGGAGGATTATAATATATGTCTCCTCCGGTCAATATCAGTCGTAAGACGCAGTGTGCTATTATCAGCTACAAGAATTTCTATTTTTGAACCTATTGAAAGTTGATTGTTTTTTGCTTCATGTAAGATAAAAATAAACAGCTATAATGGACTATAAATATTTTATTTTGATTCATTTTGGAAGTGTGTGTGATTTGTTGTGAGCTTGGGTGATGAGATAAAGGAATTTGGACCTTGCTAGTGTGTGGTGTGAGGTTATTTTTAGAACCATTAACTCATGGCCACCTTTACTTCAAGGAACCTTGTTTCAACGTTCTTTATTCTCAACTATTTTTAGATTTTGACCCCTTTTCAAGCAGGAATGGTCTGAAATGTAAACAACTGTGATTGGTAAAACGGCGTAAAAATGGTAACTTCTAGCTCACTTCAAGCTTATTTACGTAAACAGCTGACTGTGTGGGCGTGCCCTACTAGTTGCTATCGTCTGTTGATCTTTCCGTTTTACACTTGGTTTGACTTAAAAAGTTCGTTTTTTATTGTGTTTTAGTGCTTTTTAAAGATAAATCAACTTTCTTCTAGATCTCCCAAAGCGGACTCCTTACCATGAGGCCACCGAGGTGGTCTATGTGCATATGTGTGAATGTGTGTTGGTGTGTTTGTATGTGTGTGTATGCGTGTGTGCGTGTGTGAGTGTGTGTGTTTTAGTGTGTGTGTTTGAGTTTGTTTGTGTGTGTGTGTGTGTGTGTGTGTGTGTGTGTGTGTGTGTGTGTGTGTGCTCTCGTGTGTTTTTGGTGCCATTGCAAACGTATAATTAGGTAGCGTAAACACGGCACGTAAGCTGACTCGCGGCCTTCCGAGTGTGTGGTTTAGAAGAAATGGGGGTAATTCATATCTCTGTTTCTTTGCTTTTTTGTTATAAATCACCAAATGCTGAACACTTTGAAGATTTTCTTCGTTACAATAGTGTAAGTTGTTTGTATATCCGAGTATTTGGAGCTGGAGAATCGCCGTGGAAAGGGAAGCCCCTGGCGGTCAGAATACGAGGTCGGCCGGTTCAAAATTGACACCCATGCATTCGAATGCTTTGCAGAAAGATTGATGATTAAATAGGCCTACTGTCTTTTCATTGGCGGAGAACTATACAGCTTTGAGCGTGGTTTCCCATGGTTATTACCTTTGGACTTTGGCGTTTGGATAGAAAACCTTGAGAAAAAACATGTTAGTTTTCAAAGATAATTTTTGATACGAAATGTGTAAAATACCGGCTGGAAAAACAAAACAAAAGAAAGAGCATTTTTTTCTATTAGAATAAAGCCATCGCCTTAGAATTATTTTGCATCAATCCTTCCCCAAAATTACCAGGAACACTCAGTATACTACAGTATTGAGCCGACTCGCTCGCTACGAGGGCTGGTGTGGCGCCGGCCGGGACAATGCTCGGTGCTTTTATTAAAATAACGACAGATCATCGTGTTTGAGGCAATGAAATACTGGTTTGTAATGATCTCACAGTCTTGAAAAAAATTAGGCCTCATTTCTTTGTTTTAGTGATTGTACTCTGTTAATATGTTAGGTGCACTTGGTACTCTTTTATTATCTGTCAAACACGGGGTTGCATCCAGTTAGTGACTTCAGCAATATTTGATTATTATGTTAAATTGAAACAGCTGCCATTGTCTTAATAATTGACTGAGAGGTAAAAGTATCGCACATTAATTTTCATGATGCATAGGCCATTCATATGAAACAGCTGAATTTGTCATTCAGCTACTTTGAAAATTTAGTAATTGGTACCTTTGTATAACGCTAACATTTTGTTGAATTTGACGTGAAGTCCATTCTCGTGAAAATGTTGTTTTGTCCATACGTTTTTTCTCTGTAAATGAATAGTTTTCTACTTCTGTATGTTACCTTGTAGTGGCATAGCCAAGATAACTGCTAAATTTCAATTCTTTATCTCAATTCTAAGACCCCCATTGCTAAGGGAACTTGTTGCTCAACTTCGGAGGACATTTTCTCCCTTTCGTGCTTCCTCACCTGGCACCATTAAAAGTTCTGTATTTTCGTCAAATATTGTCATATTTACCGCATTCTTTTTTTTATTTGTCGGGAAAAGGTTAACTTTTTTTGAAAATAATGTTAACATATATATTTGAATAAAGACAAGAAAATAGAGGAAAATTATACATTACGTTTACAAGTTGGATATGACACATTTACATCTAAGCTTGGGAACTATTATCTGGAAAGGAAAGACGTCGCCATAACCAGACAGCCACCGGAACAATCAGTATGGATACCTTGCGGGCTTTGGTGCTGGGGGGAACTGAGCTCTTATGGACCTGTCCGGTGTGCAATGACGTTGTTGCCCAGGACAGAACAGGACAGGACAGGATATCTAAGCTTCATAGAGGAAGGCTTTTTTAGTCGCATTTATTGAACAAATGAGACAGTAGTGTCAAGTTTGGAGGCAATTTGTTTTCAGTTTGTTTGTGATCCCTTTAGCATGTATATTAAAATGTTGATGACTTATGTGAGAGGAATACAGGGAGAGGGAAGGGGGGACAGAATGGGTGCTTGGCGGGTGCTTCTTTTTTCCTATTATATATCTATCATCCGTATCTCTCCTCTTTCTTTTCCTTGTATATCACTCTTTAAAAGCAGCTTTAATCTTCTGCACTTACATGACCTATTTGTGTTGCAACGTCATAAAATTAAAATAGGAGGGAGAGATTGACAGTTATCCTGCTCTGGTGTTTTACCACATTGGTAATGACTATGTAAGATTTACTATATTTCTCATCAAATCAAAAAAAATTCTCAATCTGAAGCTATAGTTTGAGTAGAAAATGTCTTCTGTTTACAGACAGCCGGTGTGTATCAGTGGTCAAGCGGCTATCCGGTCACCTACACACGCTGGGCTCATCACCAACCCCTTGATTCTCCTGGCTGGGGCTGCGTTTACATGGATCAACACGGTTACTTCATTAACACAATGTGCAACTCTACTCGGGCTGCTTTATGTCGTGTGGATAAAGGTATGTGTGATTGGTTCATTGATTCTGAGTAGGCCTATGTGTTTGAGGAGATAAAATTGATATATATATATATATATATATATATATATATATATATATATATATATATATATATATATATATATATATATATATATATAACTGTAGGTCTTTTATTCATTGCGTGCGTGTCCCCCCCCTCTCAACACACACACACACACACACACACACACACACCAACCCTACCCCCGCCCCCATTTCCAGCCTTTAAACTTACTCATCGACGCGCACACACGTGGGCACAGAAGCACACAAGCGCACACACACACAAACACACACACACACACACTTCAAAGGACAGTTATGACTATTTTCTTTGACTGGCCAAGCTACAATTCTCCACGAAACTTAAATATCATAGCCTATTTTAACTTCCTCCCTCCCCTCTTTCTAGATGAACATTATTTCCCCAAGAAATTTCTGGTTTACAATTAAAATACTCTTTTACTTTAAGTTCAAGTTCCCTTACTTGTCTTTTTTGTGGTAATCAATGCACTAGAAATTTCAGCTTTGTGACTCAAATGTTAAGTTTATTTTAAGTTAATGATGATTAATTTTCAAAGATATTTTAAGTTTAATTTTAGCTCACGATGATCTCTTTCTTTAAATATTTTTGGTTTACTTCAGTTACGGTTATCTCTTTCTTTGAACATACTTTAGTTTACTTTTAGTTCATGAGGATCTTTAAACATTTTAAAGTTTAGTTATAGTGATCTCTTTTTAAAAATATAAAACATTTTCTTTTACCTCTTGATGATCTCTTTAAAAACAAAATTGTATCAGAGCCACCACAAGAAACTCCAGCAAGACCAGGTGGTTACTGTGAGGACCCTTTTGTGCAGTACAGCTCTGGCTGTTATATGTCGATGAGTTACATGTCAAGCTACGACACCGCCGCACAGAAGTGCAGGGACAAGGGGTCCACTCTGGCTTCAGTGCATGTTAATGACACTCTCCCTTCTCAGGGGAGAACAGTGTGGATTGGCCTCAGAGAGTCCATTGATGGTAAGTGTATTGCGTGTAGATTAACCCTTTAGGCCCAGCTCAACTTACAGTAATGTCTTATATCTTAATGAACCTAACTGCACTATTGACATAATTTTATAGAGGCACCTGCAATGTACAGAAATGAGGGAAGATTTGGAATGATATCAAGAAGTTAGCACAGGATAGGGAAAGGTGGAAAATGTGTGATCGTAGCCTATACCCTGATGCAAGGTGAGAAAGGCAGGGATGGTGGTGTCAAACGATCGATGTATAGGTACTGTTTTAGCCTTTGAGTGACACAAGTCGATTTATTCCCAGAGGGCTTCAGCTGGGAGGACAGTACCCCTGTGTCGTACACCCGCTGGGCTGCTAGTCAGCCAAGCTGGACAGGCCGTGACGAGGCTGACCAGGGCTGTGTGGCCTTGAACCCTGATGGGACCTGGACAAACAGAGACTGCCTGGATCAGCTCTCTTTCCTATGTCGTTCGGAGTTCAGTGAGTCACTGGTTCTAAAAATAAATATCTCGGTATGCAGCACACCACTTCAACTGGTGCGCTGTCAGTACCTTTTTGATACCTCAGAATTACAACGTGTTATGCAGTTGCGAGCGCCGTAAAACCCCATACAAAACTAAAACTAAACAATGTTCTATCTGCTCAGTATCTAATTTTGAGAAATTTCGCATAATGTCACGCTTTTCTGAATACAGTTCTTTGAATATCTTGATAACAGCTCAGAGTAATCTTACGATTTGGTAGAGCAGATAGAACAATTTTTTTTACCTCAAGGTCTTAGTAACTCAAAACTTCTAACAATGTCAGATAGAACTTTGTATTTTTTACTTAACGATTTGTCCGGTGCGCCAGCTGAACATGGCAGCTCCCTATTACGTACAGCTGTACAAAAATTCACTGAAGCACAGTCAATCCATGTTATTTATCTTTAAAGTGTTATGATTTTTTAATGGAGAATTCATTTCTACTCTGTTTAGATTGAGGTGCCTGAAACATTGAATGACAAAACAGGATGGTCTGTACAAACGGGGGAGTAGGCCACTGTAAATAAACGTTAAGGACTAAGGATGTCACATCTTGAGTTGAAACTTAATCCTCAGCTTTTGACTATTCTTTCTTTTGGATTGATGTGACACTGTCACCTGAAGCTCCTTTTCATGTCTCTTTTGCCTTCAAGTCGTAAGTCTTATGTTTGATATCAGTAAGTGATTTTAGGTGTTGAGTTTGCTTTCATCGGAGAGTGCTTAGTGTCCTATATGAGAGTTGTGTGGTATTGCTGCAATGTCAGCCCTCCCTGGCCTGTGGGTGGTTGGCAGGTTCTCTGGTGTGGTTTTCTCCTTCTTTCCAATCAAACATCAGTAACATCTATCATCCTTATCCTTCCTCCTCCCTTTTTGTGTATGTTACTCTCTAGTAACACCTCTTATCTTCGACGCTAATATAACCTTATTGTGTTGCAAGTGCAGTAAAACTCTTACTAAAACTTTTTAAAAAATCAACATCCCTGGTCTGTATCATGCTTCAGTGGTTTGCCTTCATTATTGTAGATGTATTTCAAACCTATTTTATTCCCCTGTTGACACAATTTAGACCAGTGCTTGACAGCTTTTTCATAGCCTGCGCCCACTTCTGCCGCATTTGAGAGGCTAACATTTTCAAACTGCTCACCTTCATGTATTTCCAAATTGGGCATAATAACAATAAAAGATAGCGCTTGTATAGGTCAAATTCCCGCTCGACTGCAAGCTCTATGTGCTTTACAATCTACAGTCTTCACAAAAAGTTAAGTTCCACTTACAAAAGTAAACTCAAAATAAAAACCAGGTAATCAAATTGTGCCTTCTTTGACATACATTTAATTCATCAATTCATAAGTGCAAAAAAGAAATTTCATCGCAATCGAGAGAGAAATGCGTAATTCCCAGAGCTCAAAAGGGACCCACCCTCAAAATCGAAAATCACTAAAGAACGGGTCTCAAAAAGTTTAAGCAATATCAAAGAAAAAGACCAGTTCAAGTTCGTGAATATCAATGGATTTGTCAGAAGCGTATGTGTCCACCATTCATGGCAAGGCAATCAAGGCATCTTGACAGGGCAGCGGTATCTGCAGGAAGACAACGGCACGCCGCACAGGTCCGGGGCGTGAACGACTTCGTGCTGCAGGCGGGGACTACCAGCATGGTTTGGCCAGCCAACAACCCGGACCTCAATCCTATTGAACAGTTGTAGGCTGAGCTTGATCGGAGAGTTTGGGAGAACTACCCTTTGCCCGCCAGCTGCTGCTTGGATGGCTGTAACAAAAATGGAACAATTAACATCCCACACCTTTCTTTTGGGATTTTCGATTTTGAGGGTGGGTCCCTTTTGAGCGCTGGGACTCATGCATTTCTGTTTCGATTGTGATGAAATTTCTTTGTTGCACTCATGGATTGATGAATTAAATGTATATTAAAGAATGAATAATTTAATTTACTGGTTTTTATTTTTCGTGCACTTTTGCAAGTGGTTCTTAACTTTTTGTGAAGACTGTATATTAAGATAACACCTGTCACTACCTCAGTGATCCCTACTGCCCAAATCGCCCACTAGTGGGCAATACCACCCAGGTAGGCAAGCGCCGATTTAGATCATTTTAGTTTTGAGCTGCTTCGACCCTGCCTGTCCAGGCCAGCAAGGCCTGAGTAGGATACACCCCAGTAAGTAGACAGTGTAGGATATTATTTTGATTGAACTCACGCCTTCAGTACGCAACGGCAAAGAGTCTAACAATTGCTCCACAGATGCTGGTTTGTCTTTATACCTCAAATGCATTGTGTGTATTTTTGGGCATGTAGAGCTTTTGGTATCATCTTAAAGCTCGTTCGTTTGTTTTTATTTTAATGAAAAAATACCCATCTATCTTCGATACAAGTCGAGATATTGACAAATGAAGGAGGGGAGGGGGGGGGGTCGCCTGGTTTCAGAGGTAAAATTAACGAGAAAATGGCTGCCAAGGTTCAGTTAATTCCTTAGCTAGTTAGTCCATGGAAACTGAAAATTTACTTTTTTTTTTCCCTTTAATCAACATTTTTCAGTAAAATCCACTCAGAAATATGTCCTATAATGGACATGAAATGTGTTGAGTTTAAAAACAAAACTACGAAGAAAATTCCCGAACTTGAGGAAAAAATGCGTGTTTCTTTACTTTCATTATTTGGACTTGCACCTGATTTCACCACGCTACCTTACATTTATTTATTGAATTGTGATAGTAATTAATGTGCTGTGTACCTGCATGCGGTATGAGTGAATTGCTAGTAGGTCATGAATCAACCATACAGTTAGTCTAACTTCATCTGTCCCTTTAGTCCTCTAGTGTAGCTTCTTATTTTTCTGTCTCAGTTTTAATGAATGCTACTGATGGAAATTAAAGTATTCTCTTGATTAGCCTTGGGGTCATTGACCTGTAAAAACTTAAATGTAATGAAAGAATACCTGGTGGTAAGTTGTTTGAAGGGTTTTTGACAAAGCATAGTGAATCAGTTCTACTAATTTGAGTTATTACAGAAAAAGACCATTTTAGGGGTCTTTACATTGAAGGCTGGTATTCTAAAAGTTTCCGATTCTGTGATGATTCTGTCAAGTTCTGTTTACGTATTTATGTCCTTAATTATTTGAAGTCATATTATTAGAAAATTACTTTTGTCTTTCAGTGGATTGGTTTTTGTTTATATTTATGTGGGTTGACAGTCTGATACATAGTTATTGGTATAGTTTTCTGTAGCCAGTGTAAGGGTCACATTTGTATGCTTTGTTTTCCCTTGTGGGAGACCTTCACTCATATTGTTTTCAAGCTTATCTAGAAAAGATTTGAAACTTGTGAGACATGGTGCAGTTTAGAATCACTTCTATTTCTGCTGTTTTTTTTAATTCTTTCACAAACCCAGAGTTCAGAGCTAGTAGTTCTACCACAGCAGTCATGACCCCACACCAGCAGACACCTGCAGGGGTCACTACCAACGTGCCCACAACCGCACACCAAGTGACCCCACCACACCCTCCTGTGTCTGGTCCATCAGTTCCACCAAGTCCAGCGAATCCATCAGGTCCACCCAGCGTGGCTGCACCTGTTAGTACTGGGCCCACCACCCCCAAGTCTCTTCGTTCATTGAGTAGTGGAGAGACAAGTTCTGTAACAATCCGAATTCCTTCTACTAAGAAACACGTTGGAGGAAAACCAACAAAAAGTGAGTTGAAAAAGTTCTGGTTTGTCTCCAATAGAAAGACTCTTTTTTGTTTATGTTTTTGCAGGCTGAGAGTCCCAAGTAGTTGGTGGAATAGTTTCTGCAATGATCTCATTTGTTATCAGACTTTATCTTGTTTTATATTTGGAAGTCCAAATTCCGTTTTTAAACTTATATATTTTAAATTTGTTTTATTTCATATTCGTTGTCATCGTTCTGTGAACATGTACAGAATGTACATGCACTTTTCTGAATTTTCAGCTTAGAGGTTCTCTGTGGTTGTTGGCCGTCCTGTGTAGATGGAGGAACAATGTCTTGTGAACTATAAAGTGACCTTGTTTTGTAGGGCCCCTATTTAGTATTACAGTCGAACCTGCCCAAGATGACCATAAAGTGCCGAGGAGGACAATGGTCACCTTATACAGGTGGTCCTCTAGGACAGCGTCATCATAATGTAGAAAAAAACCTAACATGAGGAGATGGAAGTGCTTGGTCATTATGTACAGCAGAGTGTTTTGTACAGGTGGCTGTTAGAGCATGTTTGACTGTATTCATATTTCATTTATTTGTGCGGGTGGTCAGGGAAAGTTTTAGTTTTATTCGTTCACTGGCTTTAAGCCGGGAAGGTTTGGAAGCCATTTTAGTACTTCATTTTTCCCCATGTATCATAGACTTGTATCCAAGACGGTGCATTCCCATGGCCGCCTTTTCTCTCTTTAAAAAAACACCCTGGATCACACCACCATGCCCAAATGAAGGGCAGAAACACCAGTCTAACTATAGATGAACATGTGCAGCAGCTCCTTCCCCCTACACTTATTTGGCCCAAATGTTCACTTTATAGTGAAGTGGAAATATGTCACAGTACATGGTCATGGATATAAATGTAATACAAGTCTATACTTAGAGGTAGCTTGCAGATACTCAGAGGAGATAACTATAATGGGTCTTATTTCTTTCCTGGTCTTGATGCTTTTCTATGTCCGTATTCCTTGCATGTAGAGGTGATATTATAACCGTGTTGGTTTTTCTGTATGTTGCAGATTCTGGAGGTATTAGTGACGGGGACAAAGCAGCCATCATTGTGTCAGTTTTGGCTATAGTTATTCTTTTAGTTGTTGGTGTCCTTTACGTCCTGCAACGCCGTGGGTCTTTGCGTTCTTCATTCCTTCGCAGAGAAGCGTCGCGGATGAAAAATTTTGAAAATAGCCTGTACGAAGAGACAAGGAAGGACAGCAAGGAGGGAGAGTCAGTTAACATTATTGCTTTGAAGTCTGATAGCCGGAGCTTCAGTGTCAGCTACAATGTGACCCCAACGACATCGGATGAAAATGGCGTGAATTATCAACAGTTTGATTCTTCGCAAATGCCAAATGTGGATGATGATGAAGATGTATGAATGTGTTCTGTACAAAACAATTCTGCTGTCCAAAGGTAGAGTGATGTAGCTGCACACTTTGTGATTTTGAGCAAAACATGAAAAACTTTTAACATTTTTCAGCTTATGAGATCTGCCACTTACATAGCTTTACCACTTTGGAAACTAATATTTTTAATGTAAATACGTTCCCCTTCCTTTGACAAAAGAAGGGTGTGGGTAAGACATTGTAACAAACCAAAAAAACTTTTTAAAAGTTCGTTTTGTCAGACACGTCATTCTGCCTTCGGACGGCAGACTTTTTTCTTGTGATAAGGTGGATCATTCTCTGTAGGCGACATCAATTCTTTTTCAATGCAACTGCTTCTCATTCCCTTTTCCAGAGCTCTGCATTTTTTAATGCTAATTTATATAAGACACAACAGCAGTTCCAATGCAATCTTATATTGTGGATAATTGTTGAAAGAAATTCTAAATGATCCTCTATGTGTTGGAGATTTAAATATCTATAGAAGTTGTAAAAATGTCATCAAGTGGGGTATTTTTTATGACCCAATTAGAATAGATATAGCCTTGTCCTTCTCTTAGCTATTAGAAATCTCAGTTATCCTTAAGGGGGGGGGAGGTGTAGCCATCTCGTAAGCTGGGAAATACGATATTAATTTTTTCTCCCCTTGCCCACGTCTATGATATTGACGCCATCTGATTAGTAGAAAAATTTGCTATAGTGTCCAATAATGTATTACGTACATAATTAATTATTATAACACGTAACTGTTACATAATAAAGATGTTCTAGATAATTATGTTTGTGAAGGATCGGAGAGCAATGATGATTTTAGAAATGACGGTGGTAGTGATGATAAGCGATGTAGTGGGATGGTATTTATGTTACGAAAATAGTTATTGAGAAGACATGCTTCTGTTAGTTGTGGATGGGTTTTTTTATGCTAGCGTTAGTCCTATTTTCTTTTGCTCTGATGAGTCACAAGGGATGTGGGCACCCGCTATCCCGTTCCCTACTGGAACCATCTTTAATGTCACCGTGAAGTTCAGAAATAGTGAGCACAGTCTGAGTCTCTGCTATGGCGATCTTGTTAGTATTTACGATGTTAACTTATTTATGTTTGAACAAACGTTTTGTCGAATATCTCGGTCTTTATTGAATACTTAAATACATAAACTGTAGAACTGGGGTCTTATGAAGACGGGGTGCTCCATGCTTTCTCGCCACGGTTCACGATGGTCCATTTCAGTGTGGGCAGGCTGATTGTCTCCGTCATCAGCTGGTTGTTGTAGTGTGTGATTGTCTCCATCATCAGCTGGTTGTTGTAGTGTGTGATTGTCTCCATCATCAGCTGGTTCTTGTAGTGTGTGATTGTCTCCATCATCAGCTGGTTGTTGTAGCGTCTGATGTGGTCACGCAGTCTGCTCCTCCTACCTTCACCAGGTTGTACTCCTTTACAAAAATTGTCTGAGTCTTTCTTCTGGGATGTTGTATCCCTCTCAGCCACGGTTGGCCATAAATGATGATAAAACAAAGTGGCCGCATAGAACCCGATTTAATGCCTTATTTAAACTTTAGCAAACTTCGTCGTTTTTTGTGTAAATTTTGAATCTGAAACTGAAGTCATGTATCAAGGTCACCCGCTGCTTTGTGCAACTGACGTCACAGCTGCTAGCCCTTGGCCTACACACTGCGGCAGAAGATATTCGGAGACCTCTCCGGCGAGCACCCAGGAACTATTCGGAGACGTACTCCTGCACACAGATGCACTGCTTTGGGGGTCAAACTGCCTATTGTTTGCTGCAGATCACACATATAGCCACTAAAACTGTCTCAAATCAATTATTTTCGAGAAAATTAAAAACCTTACAGCCAACTATCAAATTATGAGTTAACACCTATGCCCCCATGTAACCCCCCCCCCCCCCCCCCCCCCCCCCCCTCCGTTTGTTTTACTTGGTCTAGAGGCACAAAGCATATTATGGTTGGACTATCTCCATCGGAGACGTCTCTAGATAGTACTGCGACAGACTGCACACTTCCCAGAGCCGGTACTGGGGGCCAGGTGCCGGTACTGACACCTCCTCCAGTAAAACCGGGAGTTCCGGTACTGGGCACCGGTTCCTGCCCAGCCCCAGAGTTTGTAAGGAGAGGCGTCATCAGATTTGCCGTTTTGTTCGATACTCTTTTCATCCGAGATTAATCGGGAAGTGGTTTGCTATGAATTGAATCTTTCTATCAATATTTGAGCACAACTCTGGGACCGATGCTTGCTAGTCTTAGATGCTGTTTGACTGACGGACCTTGGGAGAACACTGCGATACTTGGACAATTGTTGAAAGATTGGAAAACGATGGATTTTTTTATTTGGAAGGGTTGGGGGGGGTGGAGGACTGAAGGCTATCTTTTTTGTTGACGTAAGTAGTACGGGTGCGGTGGCGGAGCGGTTAGTGCGCTCGTCTCCGAAGGAGAAAGTCCGGGTCCGAGCCTTTTTTAAAAATTTGTCCCCTCCTGCCCACCCAGCAGTATTGGGTACCTGACTTCGAGTTGGGGAAGTAAAGACGGCGTGGAAAGGAACTGGCCACCCTACCACAATATGCCGGAGGCCCAGGAAGTTGTCTCACTTACAAGGCAGTCCCCAAAGTCCGGATCGGATGCGGGAACAACTTTACTTTTTAAATAGGGAAGTGGTTTGCTATGATTTGAATCTTTCTATCAATATTTGAGCACAACTCTTGGACCGATGCTTG